GTGTGTGTGTGTGTATACACATTAGAGTGTGCCCTAGAATTCTTTACAATCCACAGGGGAGTAGACAAGGAAAAGTTTATTTGGCAGCCCAATTAATGTGAAAAGGGGTTCTCTCAAGGAAGAAGATATAAAATTAAAAAACAACAACAACTGACTCCTTGTTCCTTGGGTGGTTTCTAGAGGACGATGCAGAGAAGCAAACTGTAGTTTTTCTGGCTTCTTGTCAATGGGTGAAATAGCTAACGAGAACTTTGCTGTTGACGGAAAGCCCCCCCCCCCCAATTCCACTAGTCTATTGTTGTAGTCTCCTTAACAAAGCAGCGGTGGTGTGTTTGACATTGATGTTGTGTTGGTTGGTGGGACCTTCCTGCCCTTCGCTGTCAAGGACAAGCTCATCTGAGTTGACAGCTGGGTATTGTTCCCTCTGTTATGAATTCTGTAGCAGTTGCATCTTTTGTCATGTTGATTAGAGAAGCGCGTGTATGTGCGCACGCACACACACATACATTTTTTCTGAATTAAATTTTTGCTGGGGTTGAGTGTGTGTAAGCAAGGGAAGAGACGGTTGATGGGGTAAGTGGGGCAGGGGGAGAGGAGACAACAACCACAGAATGGGAAAGAATGGGGAACACTGAAGGCATACAACTGGGATTTGACCCTGCTTGACCATCTCTTATTGGGCTCCTAAAGATTTTTTTGAGTCACCTAAATTTCACATTTCTGCAAAGTTCCATGAGGCAGTGTCTTAAGCCAATTGCAGTTATTAAATAGCTGTAATGGGCAATTCCATTCAAAGGTTAATTAAAATAATCATGGGATCTATGTGTATAAACCAAAACCTCTGAGTTGGGTAATACTGTACCTTTATTGGATCATGACACCGTGATTAGCAAAGGGAGTTTTTGGACTTTTCAACTGACCGATGTGGCCTAGAACTCATTGTTTGACCTGTTGGGACCCATCTAAATTCAATGTCCCACTGAGTCTGACTCAATCTGCATTTGAAAATTTAGCTTGTTTCTGAATTGTAATTGGTCAGCTGGGAGATAGCACTTTTGTTTGTTTGTACATCTGATGTCTCAGGAATGTAGCACTGAAAGATTTGCATGTCCGGAGGGACAGCTGTTGTAAGAGGAAGAAAAGTATGTCTTAATCTGTGATTTGACTCTTAAACTGTTTCTCTTGGTCAGCCTGCCACTGTAGATTTAAAAGTATTCTCTATACTGAAATGTAAAACAACCATATTCTTTCACTGTTAGCTAGCAACAAAGAGTATTTCCTGTATGGATAAAATCTCATTTCCCCAAGCAGGAAACAAGGGCAAAAGAAATCGTTGCTTACCTTATTGGCATGAAGTACTGGAGCATGTTTGGCACTGATAATTGGAGAGCGCCAGATGTGTTTAGGGTGTTCTGACTGTGTGGTACGTTGCTGAAGTCTAAAGGCAGTCTGTTGTGGCTAGCCTCTCTCGACCCCCCGGAACTGGCTTTAGCAAACTGTTGGATGGAGTGAACTGCTCCATGGGAGATGAAGCAGCAGTCTTACGGCAGAGGAGTGAAGGTGACTTGCTAAATTCTTCATTCTTGTCAGGTTAGGCTCTCTTGATGAGACACCATAGACAGACACACAGCCAGGGCAAAAGGATTGCCTGCTTGTTTTTTAAAAAGGACAAAAAACAACTTCCCAATGTTTCTAATCCTTATTCCCTGAAAAAAAATCACAAAGCAAAACAAAACATAAAAAGGAAAATAAAAGCACCAACCAACCAACCAACCAACCAACCAACCAACCAACCAACCAACCAACCAAACAAACAAACAAACAAACAAACAAACAAACAAACAAACAAACAAACAAAACAAAAAACAAACAGCAACTGTCGTCATTTTTGTACATGAGCAAGCTGGGCCAAAATCATCCTCTTTTCTTCTTGAGAGTGACTCAGGGAGCAAGGGTGTATGTGTCAAGTTTTATAGTGCCCTGTCTTTAAACTTACGAAAAGGTGTGTGTATGTGCGGGAGGATTGAATCAGCCAATCTATGCAGGTCCAAGTGCATTGCATTTGTAAGTCTTTGAAGAACAGATTTGAATCTCCCCACGCTCAGATGTCTTATGGCTGAACCCTTTAGAGTTGCTTGGGCACCACAAACTGGTCCTTGGCATGGAGCTGTTCGAGCTCTGTTGGAATGTCTGCAGACTCATCCTTCTGGTCTTGTAAATAAACACCACTGCTCAGGAATACTAACCCGCTCCTTTGGCGCTGTAGGTGTGTATGTAAGTAAATTATCATGGCTTTTAGAAAATGACACCAATTTTTTTCCCCATGTAGACCCAACGTATGTGGATCACGATACAATGCCTACTGCTGTCCGGGCTGGAAAACATTACCTGGTGGAAATCAATGCATAGTCCGTAAGTTTTTTTTTTTTTCATGATTTATAATTAATTTAGTATATTACTATCTCAGCCAAACCATGTTTAGTCTGCAGAGGAGGCTCATACAAATGAAACTTTTTTAATGGACAGGGACCAGAGATTGAGAAATTTCTGTGGTTTGCTGCTTTTTAATTTGTGTTTTAAAGCCACATCTCCTAGTCGTGGGAATGCTGAGTGATTGGCATGAAGCCGTGTTTGTGTGAAAACCCAGGCTGCTTCTTTATCAGGACTTCTCTGAGTCCAGACCCTGCTTGTGGCAAGGCAGTCATCAGGGCCGTTTATCAGAGCCGTGGACGAGCCTGCTGTTCTCTTTCAAGCTTATTCCTTGGCTGATATCTGTTTTCTTTTCCCCCACCCTTTAAACAGCTATTTGTAGGCATTCCTGTGGAGATGGATTTTGCTCAAGACCCAACATGTGTACGTGTCCAAATGGCCAGATTGCTCCGTCCTGTGCATCAAAATCAGGTATGGATTTCTTGGGAGCAATGCCTGCCTTTTCTTCCCATGCTTTTGAATGGGCAAAACGATGTGTTTGAACTCGGCAGTAAATTGGTAGCTCAGACAATTCAACATTGAGTCAGGATTAATCATTTACCACAACTAAGGCAAGTCTGGTGACTGGGGTTGTAGCTCCTGCAGACATTCCTTAGGGCCAAATTAAAAAATAACCAATACCATACACACATGCTGGCAACTAAGTTTGTTTGCCGATCATTTAATGCTTTCTGGAAAAACTCTTCCTGTAGCTGAAGTCCTTCACAGGGAGACAAGCAGAAATGAGTAATTTTTCTAGGTCTGCTGGCAAATGCTCCAGGGACATTTGATAATAGCCCCCTCAGAGGCAGACAAGAGTTGGCTTCTGGAGGGCAAATGGTCTAGTTTTAAGAGTTTCATATTCATTCTTTTCGAAACGCCTTTATGAGTGATGCTGCTATTCAGGAGATCTTGGGCTTGCAAGGTGAGGTTGAGATTCCCATGAGGGAGCCAGACTCCTCGAAAACAATTACAGTCGACAGCAACAACCATGACAGGAAACAGTCCCCATTACAGACCAAGACCGTGAGGTCACTGGTAATTTCTTCTACAAACCGGAAGTTTAGACGCCACACTCAGGGACATGCATGTGGTATTAACCGTTAGGACTACCGCTTGTTTCGATTTTAAGATTCTGGATTCGGTTAACAGGATAATTAGTGACACTCCTCTCGGTGGTGATTCAGTAAGACTAATATTGATCACTTCCCTTGCCATGCTTTGATAATACTTCAGGCTATTTATAATGGTTCAGAGGGAGCATGTTACAAATGTGGAACTGAATGGCTGGCTGATTCAGGAGACGCTCCTGCTTCTGTTCTTCTACCTTTGTAATCGTGGAAGAGCCCTGCAGAAAAAGCCATATACAAATAAAAGGATGATGAGGTTATACGTACATGGGTTAGCTGGTAACCCACTCAGGAAGTGAAATGGTTGCTGGATTACTTCCTAAAATGAGAGATGAGAAAAGGAAGGAGCTGAATTCCCACTTTTAAGAGGTGGGGAAACTTTCAATTGGCAGAATTCCCCCCTCTTCTTCTTGTTTTGTTCATTTTTTTTAAAAGTTTATGGGGTTGGAATTTGGGTGGAGGAAGGTTTTAAAACTCTTTTCCCAGTATGCGGTGGTTCTGTTCTGGATTCGTGGCCTTGCAGGATTGATGAGATTTTTAAAATTTTTTTAAAAAAAGAAGAATGTGAGTCTTAACCGCAGACTGTATCCTGGACACAGACGGCCATTTCACCCCTAATCCAGAATCTCTGCATGCACACCATGTGTCCTGTTCTTGATCTCCAGCCCCTTGTCTGGCTGCTATCCCTGGAGAGGAAGCCTTCAAAGCCCAGGCCCTCTGATACGTCACTCATTCCTGTTATCGCCAGAACAGTCTCCCTATACAAATTGTTTTAGTGGAATCTAATGTTCTTTTCCCTTCGTTATCCGGGCCCGAGAGCTCCCCAAGTGATTCATTGATAAAATAAGATTCTTAAATGGAGAGTGAGTTTTCCACTCCCTGAATGAAGCAACCGCCTTGAGATGGTTTAATACTTCACATCTGTTCTTTGCCTGGACCTCAGCACTGAGATGGGGCTGGTGAAGACAGCTATGAATGTGTGTGTGTGTGTGTTTGTTTGTTTTTTAAAAAATTCCAGGACCTCCTCAGCATTTATCCTCTCAGACCTCACAGATGTTTTCCAAGCATTTCAAAGAGATTGTTGATGAGAATGGAGCCACCTTCCCGCCCCCAAACACAAGGAGAACAGTGTGGAGTCAGACGGAAGGACCTCCTTCCTCGATATTGTTTCCAGCACCGTCTTGTCTGATGCCTCTGAGAAGTCAACAGGACGTTCATGAAGGGAATATCTTGGTCCTGATGTAGCCCCACGATAGCTAGTAGTCAGAAATAGACCAGGGCAGCACAGAATGTAGGTAACCTCCCCCAAAGCCTTACAACAATCCGGTTCACTATTACGATTTAAATTCCTAATTTGCCGGATTAATGAGAAGACATTTTACTTTGGAAAAAGCTCTTAGAACATAACGAAGGCAAATTATGGAAAGCTCTCGCCTCTCCCTGGACATTATAGAATGGTCTATAAAACAACCCCCCCCCCCCCAAATGAAGGAAATATCTTTAGTACTTAAGCTACTGTTAAGCTTTTTATCTGAGAGGATTTATCTGTCTTTGGTAATCATATGGGAATAGAAGCTAACGTTTGGCAGGCTTTTATCTAAGTGAAATCAGTTGGTGGTTTAAGTTCCAGCTCTGCCTGATAGATGGGATCGTTTCCTATGTGTGTTCTAATCCCTTGAGTTTTCCCAAGATGTTTTGAAGCCATACATTCCTATCTTGTTCCACTTGACTTAGTTTGGTGTATATAAAGTTCACCAGCTCGTTACTCTCTCTGTTTGCAGATATATCAGCACAAAACTTGCTGGGACTGAGCCATTTTAAAGGGGAAGGGCAAGTTGTGATGGTTAGCTACTTACTTAATTGACAGAGGTGGTTGGTTTAAGGATTAAACTGGGAAAATGAAGAGCCCGGTGGCTCAGTGGTTAAACTGCAGTCAAGCCTCTGCTCACAACCTGAGTCTGATCCTGATGGGTTCCATTAGCTGGGTTCAAGGCTGCCTACCCCCCTTCTGAGGTCAGTAAAATGACTACCTAGCTAGCCTGGGGTCAAGTTGTTATTTGCGTAATTCTGTTGTGAACCGCCCAGAGAATGCTTTAATACAATGGAGCAGTACATAAGTTGGAATAACAACGACAGATGCTAAAGTTCATATTCCAAGCTCATAATAAGGACTGGTAGCATTTTGGGGACCCCTGCTCGATAGTGCGTAATCAAGGTGGTGGTGTGTGCTTCTTCCTTGCGCCTTGCGGGAATGCATAAACACTAGGGTTGGTTTATTGTGCGGTCTGGCCATTTCTCTTCTTTGGTTTGTTTCCTGCCAGCAAACCAGAGAAATAATCTCTCTTTGTTCTACAACCAGGCACAAGAGTAATCAGCCAGCTTTTTTCCAGCACAGTTACTAGTACAGGAGAAGCTGGGGGTGCTTCCCCTCCCTGGCTTGTTCTGTTGTGTGAATGTATTCTCTCTCTCTCTCTTTCTCCTACTTAATGGTCAGTTTCTCTGTGTGTCATTTACGAGGCTCATTGTGACACATGCTGTCAGCTACCAGGGAAATATATATACTTCAGCTGTGCATTATGGATCACCCTACACCTAGAATAAGAATAGCATGGCTTGGTCTCTTTCTCATTGTGGGTGTGAGGGGGAAAAAATGAGGTGAGAGAAAACACAGCACTACGTACTAAAAGCAGGACTTTAAATCTAAATAACTTAACAGCCCTGCCATATCGGAGATGGTTTTGCTGCAAGAGATTCTTTTCCTCCTGCAAGTGGACAGGGCTGCAAAATGTCAAATATTTTTGAAATGGATCAGGGTGCCAGTCGGCTTAGCACCTGTCTGGAAAAGATAGTCACTTCTGGCTACTGCCTTTGTGGCTCTGCCCTTTTCGAACACATCCGTTATTCCTGCGATGAACGTATTGGGCAGTCTGTTCCTTTTATGACAGTACAGCAAAAAACGCTAACCTGACAGTAATCTTATCTCGGGAGGAGCTTTTCATGTGGTTCCTGTTGAGATGGAATCCATTTCCTGGCTCCTTATTTAGAGCGTCTGCTCTGGTTGGCATCTGTTCTCCCATGGCAAGCAGAGAGAACTGAGTTTCTGGACGGCTTCTCTTCTTTCCCTCCCTTCCCTCTCTCTCTCTTTCTCTTTCTCTCTCTCCCTTCCTCACAGCAGTGAAGAACCCGGGGGTTTAACTGTTCTTTGCCACTCCATCCTTATGACTGGCATCCTACCAGGTGGGATTTCAAGTTTTGCCAGTCCACCATCAGACTGCTGGTTAGTGGCATTGAAATAAGAGGCAGACCATGATGTGATTTGGCCTTTTCTTAAGAGGAAAACTTTTTAACCATTTTCAGCCAAGGCCCTGCTAGTCAAGGCATGTAGTAGGCCTTCTACCACAGTTCTGCAAGAATTACACTCAAACACACCAACCCACACCCCTCCGTGCTCTTTTATGCTCGGAAAACTGTTCTTCAGAATTTGAGAGACCCCACTTTCCATCTGCAGCCAGCCAAGCCACTCACCAGGTGACCTTCAGCCAGTCTCTCTCGGCCCTGATCTACCTTACGAGGCAGTTGTGAGGATGCAGTGGGGGTCCATGCACACCAACGTGCCTTTCTCAGAGAAAAAGCAGGTTCTAAGTGTAACAAAGCAATTAACAGTTCTGTCTCTTAATCTCTGTCATCTAAGCAAGCTGTGCTTATTCCGTGCCACAAGGTGCTTTGCAAAGGTATCAAAAGGCAGGAAAGCCTTGAGCTGGACATGCAGTTAAACTATATTCCTTTCACTGTTGCTGCTCGACATGTTTACCTTTTTACCCTTCTTGGTTCTGAACATGGCGTTGCTGACAATCTGGCTCTGAATCTATGCCAACGAACTCTTTCCATTCCAACCCACTAGGATATTTAAAGCTGCAAGTTGGAAACCCTATTAAAAAGTAAATTGTGCTGCTTTCTATACCATCCCCCAGTGCTTAAAGCTCTCTCTCTCTCTCTGTGTTATAATTATGCAGGCTACACATTGCTGCCCCCTAGGAAGTTGGGTATTCAATTTACTGACCTTGGAAGGATGGAAGGCTGAGACTACCTGAGCCTGTTGGGATTGAACTCAGTTTGTGAGCAGAGTCTTGACTGCAGGACTGCAGTTTAACCACATGCCATGAAGCTCCTAATAAAGTACTAGAGCTGGATACTTAACAAAAGGTATCCCTGTGTCTCTATAGAGTATGACGATGCAATTTTGCCATCCATCTACATTTCCTGCAAAATCTCATGAGGGTTCACGGCAAAAGGCTGTAGACTTTTGCCATTTCTAAAGGGTGGCAGTTCCTGTGGTTGGTTCTTTACAGAAAGAAGCATTATAAAGACAACTAACCCTTGTGGTTCCTCTATTCCAAAGTATTGCAGAGTTGAGTAATGCGTGCTGTCTTTCTTTTCAAGTGCAACATTGCAACGTCCGATGCATGAACGGTGGCACCTGTAGCGAAGACCATTGCCTCTGCCAGAAGGGATACACCGGAACACACTGCGGCCAGCGTAAGTAGAAGGAGGGTCCATATCCTGCTAGGACTCAGCGTCGCTCAGGTGGTCCTTAGCATTGGGCGGCTCCCATGTGTTGACCTGGTGGCTTCTGTGAGGCTGGGGCAGAATGTCACTGAGAGCCGTTCGGCTTTTCAGCGACAACATTTTCCATAGGATTTTTATTTTGGGGAGAGTGTGGCAGTGGCAGCCTGCCCATTGGTATATGAATTAATTTTTTATAAAAAAATTAACAATATGCAAAATAATAAAATAGTTATAAACTATCAAACCCTACATAGTAAGCCTATCAAATGGTATACTAGTTAACAGAACACAACTTTCTGTAAATCAGCATGAATGAGAGAAAGCCAAGTTTTATAAAACTAGTCTGTACTGAAATTTTGGTGCCTCAGTTGTGAATTTTGGTATATTAATGTAATTTATGCACAGAGCATGTGCTGTTCGGACACAGTGCCTCGTGTCTTTGTGCATTAAAACATTAACATATTTAAGATTCTGAGGAATGTGGAAATGCCCCCTTGCTCCCCCCCCCCCTCTGTGGCAAGTAAATCCCTTTCTAAAGGCTGCTAAATCTTTTTGCCAGTCTGGGAGATATGTTGTGTCATGTAGAGTCGTTTATGTATTGTGTTGCACTTCTTTTGGTTGAAGGGGAGGGCGATCTTCTCGATTTCCCCAGGAGGAGAGATATTCTTGACTTGGAACTTGGAATGACAGCCCAGTTATGAAAGTTCTCATCTGAGAATTTTTTTTTTAAGCACTAGTTAACACATAGTAAACATTAGCTAGGATATAAAATGCGACCAGAAGGAGAATAAATGCATCTTTAGTAATCAACCAATTCTGGGCTGCTGGCGTGGTGGCTGCCAGTGGAATTTTTCAAGCTAGCACACGTGATATTGCTGTGAGTGCCAGGAGAATTCTTTCTGACTAGAACAATTAAAATAAACATTGGATAAAAATTCATAATAATTGGATATTGCCTGATGTTGCAGTTTTTCAATTCTTAAAAATTTCAAAGGCTTTGAAAAGTTTTACATACTCTAGGCCCGATCACATGGAACTGACCCTCTGTAGGGACCACTAGCCAGTCCCCCCTTCCTTCTCTGAGTAGGATGTTGCAAGCGACTCCTTGCAGGAACGTAGGGTAGCCTTCACTCCCCCATCCAGGCTGCCTCATGGTAGGCATGTGGCCATGCGGCTGGGTGGATTGGAGTCTGGTTGGGTGAAGACTTTGCAAACCTTGTTCACTTGACACATAGTATTTGGGATGCTGTCAGAAAATGCAAATGCTGTACTTTCGGGGGTCTACGGAAGCCACTGTAGCTCCTGCCCTTTCTTGGAACCGCTGGATAATGTGGAAGGTGGTCATGCAGAGGAGTGGCAGGATCTGTTCTTGGTCATCCCAGAGTGCAGGACATGTAATAATGGGTTCAAGCTACAGGAAGCCAGATTGAGGCTGAACATCAGGAAAAACTTCCTAACTGTTAGAGAAGGATGATAATGGAACCATTGACTTGAGGAGGTGGCAAGTGCTCCAGCTCTGGAGGCATTCAAGAGAAAATTAGAGTACCATCTGTCAGATCTGCTTTGACTGGGATTCTTGCATTGAGCAGGGGGTTGGACTCAATGGCCTTAGAGGTGCCTTCCAACTCCATGAGTCTAGGATCTTGTGAGTTCTTGGCACTTAGAAAACGTTCCTATGTTTGGAGGATAGTGGAAGTTGCAATCTAACAAAAATGACTTTTCAAAGCTCTTGTTTGTCCTGTTCCAATGCTGGTGGGTGACAAGAGAGTTAGGGTTGTGATGGAGTGACCAAAATTCTATGCGTTAGTGGAGCAAATTGCACTAGGGTAGGCTCACTCTGTCAATGGGGTTGAGTGAGTCAGCTCCTCATCAATTTCCTTTGATTCAAATGGGCCTGCTCTAAAGCAAGTCACAGTTGGTGTAGACACATTTGAATCATTTAAACTTACAGAGGAGTTCAATCCTTAAATCCTCATTGACGGTTAGTTACAACAGGATTTTGGCCATTCTGTTAGAAACCGTTTTGGATCTGTCCCTTAATTTACAGAAGGGCCAGGACTAGATCAGTTTACAGCACTGATGACGTTTCTAAATTATCTGGGCATTGGGTTGCATGTATAAGACCTTTTCTATAGTTTTTCCAAGTCAACGTTACTTATTTAATGAAGACGTCACTGAGTTTGATGTGAAATCCCTTCTAAAATATGCAGCTTCATTACAAGTGCCTCCCATAAGTAGTTCACAGAGTCTGGCATTTTCCACCAAAGCCTTGCTGGTTGGTCAAAATGAGTAAGGCTGTCAGGAGTCCCCGGCCAGCCCATATTTCAACAAGTACTTGAGCCAGGCAATGTGGAATTGTAATAATGTGTTTAACTGCAAACCATGTTCTTAGAAAGAAGCCTGTAATTCTGTTGTGCAGATCTGCATGAGGTTTCCTAGAGAGAGATTTGGGCGGGGGTGGGGGTGGGGGGTGAGAGGAGAATGTTTTTATCTCTTTGAGTAAATGGCTTTTCATGCTGTGTGGCTTTGTGTCAGGGCGGGTGTCTTCCTCCTGCTCCTCCCTCCCAAAATTCAGCATGCCTTTGCACCAAAGCTGCTGTTGCTACTGAGGGACAGCTTGCCCTCTCCTCCCAGATTCAGCCAGATTTTTTGTTGTTTGTTGTTGTTGGTTTAAAAACCTCACACACCATTTACAGACTGTTTCCTTGAAGGAAAACTGAATCAAGGCATTTGTTATGACAGACTCATCCTCCTTTGGAACTTGAGGCTTGTTGTGTCTTGGTGCCTGTAGTGTTGGTCACAGAGAGAGAGAGAGAGAGAGAGAGAGAGAGAGGCTCTTCTGGGACAGATTTGCCAGCCGATGTGGTGAATCTGTGGTGAGAGACAGCAGCAGGCCTTGGTGGCAGATTGCAAGCGTGGGAGGTCGCTTCCATGAAGAATGAATAGGATGACCACCTGAAGCCGCTCAAAACCAAGCAGTGGGAACTAAGCCGTAGAGCCCAAAACATCCTTTTGACTTGCTGCTCGGTCGCGGATGGATTCACCATGTCATCAATTATATTCATTCTTTGTTAACAGAATATATTTTGCATTTAAACTGGCCAAACCTCAGTCCCTCTAAAACAAGGGAGGGGAAAATGTGGCTCTAGGCGAGCTGCAGGGCAGGCGTTGTGACTTGCAGCCACCTCTTGCAGGCCCTGTTCCCCTGCTGAAAATAGCTTTTGCTACAGAAAAAAAATAGGGCTAACAGTCCTGGAGGACCATTAACTCCCCTTTTGAAATGATCTTCTCTCTCTCTGTCTCTCTGTGCAGTTTTTCTAAAATTGCAAGTGGACGTAAAGCCAGTTTCAATTTATTGAAAGCAAGTCTCTTTTGGGAGGGAGGGGGCACCCTGACCCACCCAAGTTGTCCATCCCTTCTCCAAAAGGATCAGATATGCAGCTGGTTTCTCAGGGGGAGCAGGGAGCCATCCCTGAAGCTGAAAAGGAAGGCCCCCCGTTGCATTCAGGAAGCATCCCCACTAACTCTGTTTGCTCCTTCCACTTGCAGCTGTCTGTGAAAGTGGATGCCTCAACGGAGGGAGGTGTGTCGCGCCAAACAGATGCGCTTGCACTTACGGCTTTACCGGACCTCAGTGTGAAAGAGGTAGGTGGGATTTCCTTTTATCTGAGAAAGAAAGAAAGAAGTCGGTGGATTTTGGAGTGAGTGTATATAAATGAAGATGGTAGGCTGAAAATGAAATCCTTATGAGGCAAGCCCCTGGGTTTTGTTTGTTTGTTTGTTTTGTTATTTGCTTTCTGGGTGATTCCTGAAACTCCTGGATGCCTGTAAGGTTTGATGATAAATGTGTGAGAGAAAACAGTTGTGGAGGGTGGGGAGAGCGAGGTGAGGAACTGGCTGTTTCCTAATCCATCACTGGGATTTGGACCAGGTCCAGATGTTAAAACAGAACGGGGTTTTTTTTGGGGGGGGGGAAGGGGAAGAACAAAGGCTTTGCATTTCCTCACCTTATCCTTCTGTGGTTGTAAAAACCTTGGTGGAATGCAGATCTACCATGCATTCTTTTGGAGGGCAACACACATTTTATTTAAAGATGGGGAGAAGGACAAAAAGCTTACAGAATCTAGACCTTTATTCTCTTTCACATCCCGTGCTTAAATAAAAGCTGGCCCGTAAATGAAATATAACCGCGTACATTTTAACCAGTTGTTTAATATACAAAAATGTGCCGGGGAATATTTTTGGCAGTCCGAGGTGGACATAAGTACCAAAGTTATACTCTCCTCTGGCCTCATGCCTTGTGCTTTGTTTTGACTAAATATACGGAGTTTGTCTTCTGCAGAACTGGTATGAGTTTATTATCAGTTTTGTGAACTTTTCGCTACGAGTAGCCATAGCAACACCCACAGCTGTTTCCAGATGAGAACACAGCTCTGCTTATCTACCATACTGAAGTAGTTTCAAGGAAATTAAATCAAATTTAACAGCGTTCTGGAGAGAGATGACAGTAATAGCTGTTTAACTACAAGGATCGTTGGGCTGTTGTGTATTCCTGAAGATAACATATGTTTTAATTTGAACGGCTAAATTGATGTCTGGAAAATTCATAGGATAGATTACAGATAAAGAAGACCATTCTGTGTTCAGTCTAGCAAATCCAAGTTTTCCTATTTCCGTTCTTTTATTCAAAAAGGAAAAGGGGATCGGGAGAGAGGAAGGTTACCAATAGATATGTACAATAGGTCTATGACTGATATAAATGTGACCTCCGTCCTGAAGTCTGCTGGTTACAGATCTCCATAGTCTGAATGAAAAACTGCAATGGCTTAGGACTAGATCCAGTTTCATGGTTACCTCTTCCACACAGGAAAAATAAGGGGTTCTCCAAGCAGCCAAAAACAAGGGGTGGTGAAAGAGGACTGTTTATAGTGTATTCATCTACAGAGTGGGAAGGAGCACATATGTTTCCCAATGCTTTCCCACTGAAGGCAAAGCTTCATGGTGCCCAACGCAGCCAAGTTACTTTGGAACATAAGGGCAGAAATTTGGACAAACACCTCTTCCCTTTTTTTGACACTAAGCATTCAGTAATAACAAATTAAGTAACGAATAGCTTTCTGCCCTTTTATGTCATGTGGGTCTTTTGCCTGAAATAGCGGCTTTACTCTCCTTAATGGGAGGGCCAGCCCCGGCTCCTCTTCCCACTCATCTGTTGTATTAAATTTGATGATACAGTACTAAGGTGCGCCTCAGCCAGAGATGATTAGTTTCCATCCCAAATAAATAAATACATAAATTTCTTTAAAATGCACATTGTGAAGGGCTGCTGTAGCAGATGAGGAAAGGTTAAACAGACAAAGCTTAATGAACTGCCAGAAGTGGTCGTGCCAGCTGACGATTCTTGCAGCTTGAATAACTTCCCAACTTTTGTTATAATCTATATAGTAAATTAGGTTGGCCCTCTGTGGTCAGATGCTCACCAGGATCTGGTCTGTGATGTTTGCACGTTGGTCTGGGTTTGCTGCAACACAGTTTCATCCACCCCTTAATGGCAGTGTTAACTGGGAATTAAAATCTCTGCAGGCAAGCATGAAAAACATGCAAGAGGTTTTATTGACCTTCTTGCTTTATGTTTGCCTTGAGACCTTTTGTGGTTGTGGGTTGTTTACCCGAGGTGAGCCATGTTTTTGAAGAACCTGAGTTGTATTGAGGTTGTAGCACAACTGCTTCCATGGTGTGCATGCCTGTTTTCAAAACTTTTTCTGGGTCCAAAATAATATATTGGCACATCCACAGTTAATGGAAGCCCCCTGGGTGGAACATCAAAGATATGCAGATCCATGTAACAAACCTAGTATTTCTTTTGATGACAGATGCGCTTTATTTCTGCAAAATAAATCATGATATGGCGTAATATGTCATGCGTTGTTGTTCATCTGTGGTTGTATTTACCTAATTTCCAGACCTGCTAAGGATCAGATGATTTTTATTATATCCTGATACGTAAAACCATAGAATTCAAAGAGGATGTACTTCCTCTTTCACGTGACTGTCTATTTTCCTATTATGAGGTGCGACTCTAGATAAATGAAATATGTGGGCTGTGTTATATGTATCATGCTAGGTGGATTCCTTGCTTTTGCGCTATGTCACTTTATTTAGCAAAAAAAGGGGGGGGAAGCTGCCGCAGCCCACTGAATGACAGCCACAGAAAAAGGTGAGGAAGGGGCCAGGGAGGAGAGGGTCATGGATTGAAGGGTGGAGCAAATGGGACACATCCAAAGACTTGGCTGGACCCTTCTCACAGGAGAGGAAACATGGATCATTGTGAATGGAAGGATGGCACAAGTGAAAGATAAAATAGATCACACTAAAGAAAAGAACCTTTTAAGGGCAATCCAGACGACTGCTCCAACTTCCCCCGTCTGGACCTGCCCTCTGTGGGCTGATGCGCCACCGCCTGCTTTGGTTTTGCATGAAAGAGCGCTGCTGAGACGCCACCTCTTCCAGCTCCGGTTTTGGCTTTAGCTTGTCCACACGTTCACTGTTCGCCTTGCGACGGAGCTTCACAGTGACCTTACCGTACCTCTTTTCTTGGTTCTAAGTTGCAGTGGAAAGAAAAGGCAGCTCCGGACGTCCGTCCAGAATTTCCTCTTGAGTCAGACAGCAAGTTTGGACTGCAGTCACTTCAAATATTAAAACTGCAGCATGTGCCGCCTTGGTGTCCATATTCCATGTGCAAACAATGTCTGGTTTTTCTTCACCATGTCAGCCCCGTACGGCTCCCTTTTCCATAGCTAGATGTTTGTTTTTGCTCCAGAATTTTGATCTGTCGCCTAGCTAATGCTAAATTAGCCACACGTTTTTAATTCATCCATTTAAGCAAATTGTAATATCCTCCAAGTTAAATCTGCTAAGATTTGCAGCCTTTGTTAACATATATAGTATGCAAACATCCAAATATGGGCAATATTAAAATAGGGCTGCTTTAGTGTATTATGTGTTCTTTAACTGCTATGATACATGTTTGCGGAAAAGGCTCTGAATCCTTTGATCTATCTCTTCAGTGGTATTTAGTCTAAATGGGGAAAAAAGCAACAAAGGATAGATAAAAGTAGAAGACTATTCCCAAAACCTTACTTGGCATTTAAATTAGTATTATAACATATGGTTGGTGACAAAACATTTAAACATTTTAAAGCTCTTTTTGGGAACTGCCTTCCAAGAAATGCATGTGTTGAAAAAGAGAATAATCTTCAGCTGAATGGAATTTTCTCTATTTCTCTCTTTTTTTTTTTCCTGCCATTTTTCTTCTTCTAATTTTCCCCCTACAACTGAAGTCATTATCTCTTGTTTTCTTTTTCTCTTCTTTCTCTAGTGTACCATTTTTAATATCATCATTATATTGTACAACTCTTTTTTTAAAAAAATACTAAGACAGTGTTTTGATTGTCTAAAGAGGCTACTTTGGTTTCCTGAATTTCAGCATAAATAAAAGACGCAAGGTTTCATTTAATGTTAATGCCTGTTGTTAAGATAAAATCCGTGCCATGCATGGACCCTCCCAATATTAGCACATAAGGCAGTGGCAGAAAACTTTACTTTGGGGGGGGGCAGCAGCAAATTTATTCCCACGCCATACTCTCCCAGCTGTTGGCATATGTCTTGCAAACAGTTTTCTCTGAGATCCTAAAAGCAAAACATGCCAGGGTTTCACAACAGCAGTATTAAGCAAGTAGAAACCTCCTCTAGAAGTCCACAAATAATGGTAAATGCAATAGTAAACAGATTAGAGTATTTCCTTATTTAAAGGATGACATTCCAGGTGAAGTACAAGACAGCAAGCAGAGCGGTTCTGATAGGGTTGTTCTTAGCGCAGTTGGCAAAACAAATTGCTTGCCTTGTTCTGCAGGTGATCTGGTGGCACGGATTCTTCTTCCATCGCTTCTCTGTAGCTCTCTTTAAGTTTGCAGTCTAAACAGGCATGCTTCAATTCATATTTGTTGTGTTTGCCTTCTGTGTTTTGTATACAAACTACTGAACTCAGATTTCTTTGATCTAGCGGTTTGAGTCTCTATTTATTTAATACGCCTTCTTTCTCTGAAGGCTGGGAACCTTTGTAGCTAAAGACAGTAGCATTAAAACAGAGTAAGAGTTGCAAATATCCAGCCTGTTAGGGCATTAAAATGCAATGAGAATGATAACAGTTTAGAACATCTCTGTAGCAGCGCTAAGCATACTTTACCTTGACAATAAAAATAAATAAATAAAAGGAGCATATCCAGCTGAAAATTTGTACTTGGGGAGCCAGGTTTGTACTCAGCCTGCATCATCATCATCATCATCTACTGATGGAAAAGTGGTGAGGAAGGGGCTGGCCTAGAGTAGTAAAACAAAGATCTCAAAGCCTAGACAAACACGTTTGGGAGAATCCCGTCTTTCTGATAGGGTTCTAGAGGTCATAGCTAGCACAATTAATTGCTTCTGGAAATAACCAGTGAAGTTGTTAAAGGATAGGAATTATCTGTTCCCATTCCCTTGCTCTGGTCATCATCCTGCCTGTACTGTCTTGGCCCAACTAGGGCTGCCAAACCATCTTCAAAAGCCGCCCCACGTAGACCATATTCTACGTAGTCATCCACCTT